CTGTTTCCCTATTCCTAGTGGCATGAGGGTTGAGGGCATGTAGTGGCTTTGCAGAACCAGGTTATCAACATAACATAATTATTTTAACAAATGAGACAGTTTCTAGAGCTCTCTCACTTCGTAGTAGAAAAGCAACATGCTGCTTAGATATCACCATTCAGGACATAGTCACCAAGACAAAAACCAGTCTGGGTAGGCTGAACTGAAGGTGCATCAGGTATGTCTACACCACTGCAGCAGAGGACTTAGTTTGCTGCTGAGGATGTAAGCCCTCCCCTCTCCGCTCACTATCACTAGGGGTTTAGGGAACTTGAAGTAGCAGCCAGCCAATTTTGTAGGCAGATCCTCAGGCCAGCAACCATTTTTGCAGGCTAATTGTGGAGCCTTCCCCACCCCGCTCCCCACACCTCTGATTGGCTGAGGGGCCCTGGTGGCTCTGCCCATCACCACTGATTAGCTGCTCAGGCTGTTGGTTGTACAGCCCCACCTTTCACCACAGATTGGCTGTGAGAGCTGGCTGTCGTGTGGACAGACATGGGCGACTGGTGCCACCTTAGTTAGGGGGGGCATGTGCCCCCGCCAGCAACCGGTCAGTGACTGGAGGTGGTGTCCTCCCCGCAGCCAATCATGCCAACTGGGAAGCACTCCTGGAAGTGGCCGCGGCACTTCATCTGGTGCTCCCACTCCCCGGCTGGCACTCGCAAGGGGGGCACAGGTGCTCCTGCCTGCCTCCCCTGCCCATTGCCTAAGCAGGGAGCGCAGCCTGTCAGGGGGTACATCAGTGCTCTCAGGGGGTGCACATGCACCCCTGTGCACCCCCTATTCACCGCCACTGTGGCCAGAGCCCTTGCTGCCAGTTGGTAGAAAGGTGTGGGGCCATATGACAGACAGCCCTTGCAGCCGGTGAGGGGTGGGGTGGCACCCATCTCGCTGTGCCAGCAGCCCCCTTCCCCACACTTCCCTCCCTCCCTCGGCAGGCTGTGCAGCTGGGCCAGTGTTTTATTTTTGTTAATTTTTCTTTTTTTCAGGGAACCTACCAAAAGCACAGAGCCCACACTTTTTTTGTGGAACCAGCCCAAATTCGCAGTTTCCGTGAAAAACACGGAATCACGATTTCAGTAGGTCCCTAAACATCACTTCATATATATCTTCTAGTCTACACACATCAGCCCCAGAAATGAAATAGTGAAGTTACCTTGGGGGGTGACATTGGCACCATGCTGAGGGCCAGTGTTTCCAGTATGCTTGAAAACAGTGGCTCGGGGCACCTCCAGGATGTCCTTACAATTTCATTTCTAGGGTTCATACACCTGGGGTTGGAGCGGATCTTCTTGGCTAGGGACAGAAGTTACACATAAACTGGTATGAGTGATTGGAAACTGGTTCAGATATGTAACACAACAGAAGTTCAGTGCACATAAAGCACTTCCAAAATGACTGAAAGATAAACCTGGATGGATGTAGTATCAGACTTTAACTGATTTTGATTAAACTTCTATATCAGATCCCCTCCAGATTTAAGCTAACTCACAGTCCCCCCCAGAATCCTAGGATGCTTTGCATCTCCCCCGCAAACCCGCCCCCGCCACACACACGGTGCATGGGCTAGACTTGGTCCAAGCTGTTTGCTCCAACCGAGAGGGGAGGCATGCTCTAACACCTCTCAGCTTCTGGCCTGGGCCACTGCAGGCATGTGGCTGTGTTTCTGAATCAAAATGAATGTTGGTTCACTTGCTTATCAGTTCAATCTATGCAGCTTAGACTAACATGTGAAGATTGAATCGATTCAGCCTCCGGCTTCTTGACTGTCTGTACTTAGCTCTTGACAACAAGATGGAGTACTCTGCTTTCATGGTGGAGGTCAACTCTTAGTGGGTGTAAGATGCTTACTGCGCATTAGCCTAATAACACTGTCTAGTATGCCGGTCAGAAACCGTGCTAATAGCCTACTGTGCAGTGTTATTAGGCTAATATACAATAAGCGTCACAAAATAACCATGCACTGGTGCTACTTCATTAGGCAAGTACTAACTAAATGCGCAGTAATTTTAAGGTGCGTTAACGAACCTGTAGATGTGCCCAGTGTAGCTCAGAGACTGTCATCACCAGCCAATGTATTGGCTCAGAGAAGAGGGGCCTCTGGCGGAGAATTCCTTGTATTCATCATCATAGTTTTTCAGATAATGTTTACTCAGCTCTGAATGATTCACCTGGATTTGTGTGCAGTAGGCCATGGGGCAGAAATCAACTGAATTCTACTCTCAGTAGTTTGGAGACTGCTGTCTCAGCTCAGACTGGTTTAAGATGTCCTGGAAAGTAATGCTGTGAAACGCTTTGGGTAGGTTCTCTCTGCTTTGTCTCTGTACTGGAAATCCTTCACCAAACTGCTGGAGAATACGAAAAGCCTTCAGGAGACCTGGCTTTCTTTGCTTAAAGTAATGCAGACAAGTACTTTGGGCCAAAAATTTAAATTTTGTATTTAAAAAAGAAAAGGCAGAGTTTGTAATAATAGAATAGAAATATTGTCATCTGCTGTTTGAGAGAGTTTCGGTTTTTCTTCAGTTAAACTTTTCTCCCACCACAGAGCCCCACAGACAGCAGCACCCCAGCGGCTCGGAGGACAGACAGACTTCTACAGGTGCAGACAGAAGATGAAGTAGACCCACCCAGTTATATTTGCCAAGCAGAGTAAAGTGCAAAGAGGGAAATGGCAGCAATAAGGCTGTTTTACAAATTCATTCAGTTTTACCAATTTAAAAGTGAAAAATAAAAGGAGAGTTTTATTTAGTTATGGAGATCCTTCATTTTCACTGAGAGCTGGATTTCCATCACCCTAACTCATGCTAAGCCATAGGTTACTGTTTAGTTGTCACTCTGATTTCAGCATGCATAGCCATGGAAGAACTTAGCCATGAATGAGAACCAAAGGATTTGACCCTTGAATATTTAAGAACATGACACTCCCTCCTTTCCTACCTTACTGATTTGCTCTGAGCCATAAGTAAAACACTATTCAGTGTGTGTCTCAGTTGCAGGTTTGAGCCCTAGATTTTTATTCACTCCTGACCCAGGCATCTAGTCAGTCGGAGTCTGAATAAGAGCTTTGGGAGGGGCATGGTTCCTTCTTGCCTTTCCCCTTTTAGTTTAGATTGACTTCTAAGGAGATGACTTGGCCTGTTTGTCAGGCAAAGTCAGGAAATAGCTACAGGGCAAAAATATGGGATGGGGCCTCCATTGAAAAGCCATCAGCTCTGGCTTCGTCTGGAAGATCCCTGGGAAGCCAGGTGGAACTGAGGCTTCTGTGCGAATGTTGAGCTTGATTGTTTTTTAGCAGGGCTTGGTTGCCATGGAGACTGTCAGAAAGAAATCGGCAAGATTTCAAATGAGTGTCTTATGATAAAAATAACAGATCAGCTCTGCTGCCTGAGCTGGCAAGCGGCACCAGGCCACGCTCCTCTTGGCAGTGGGCACTGGCCCTGACATCATCTGGATGGGTCCAACACTCTCTCTACTCCTACTCAGCTTTGTAGTGCACTGGAAAAGACACTCAGAGTGCTACAAGGCCATAAATAATGATGTTCAAGCTGCAGAGCTGCCCCCCCAAAACCAGTCAGTTTATATAAGGCTTTTTTTATTATACACTATTTACACTTCAGATCAAAAGGAGATTCTGTGGTGTTTTCCATCAGGGCTTGGAATGTGCCTGCTGGTCTCGTGGGGGATGGTGTCCCTTGCTAGCACAGCTTGGAAATAATTTCCTATTATGGAAAATTTTGAGCCAGAGGAAATAAGACGCTACAGCCATTTTTACTTAATGAGTCCTCCCATCTCGTGCATCAGATTAATGTAGGTCTCAAGCCAATGGATAGAGGGCATAACTTTCCCCAAGTGATAGATTGCTTCTGATTGCCTTTTACCAGCTCTGCAGCTGGCGTGAAACAATTCTTCCCCTTCCCTAACCTCAAACCTGCTGGGGTTTCCATGCTGTCCTGGTTTGTTCATCCCTGAGTCCCTACCTTGTATTGTTTGCTAGAGAAGCCTTTGGTGACAATAAAAGCTCTGCTCAGACATTCGCTTCCTGAATGCTCTCAAACATTTCTGATTACAAGCTGATATTGGGTCTGCTGCAAGGAGAGGATGGGCTGACTGGTGTTAGGGTGAGAGAGCTAAGGAAATGGAGGAGCAGAATTGTATCTCTTGCTCACTTTAAACTTTGTTCATCTTTTCAGTGAATTTTTACCCTAAATGAGTACTGTTTTGGAAGGGGCTAACATTTCTACTCGGGGATTTTTTTTTAAGTCTGACTAACATGTCTCTTCCTTTTCCTTTAATGTCAGTGATATGGTGAAGAGCAAGTCAAATGCTGTAAATTTTATCTGTAGAAAGTTCTGATCCTGGTTCCACTATGACTGACTTTCTGGCCTTGGCCAAGTCATGTGACCTCTGCCTCAGTTTCCACATCCATAAGACAAGCTAAATACCTAACAGATGGTGAAAAATAATGGCAAATTCTTATACAGGTGCTGTATTATAAGTAGCATTCTTGTAACTACAGAACATTTCTTCTCTTTTAACACTTGCAAGTGGGCTTCTTTGCATTCATATAACTAGAACTACCTATCCTGGATCTATACATGGCCCCCAATACTGTAATACTGGAATAGCTCTTAATCTTTAATACAGTTATCCCTCTGAGGGATAGGGCAATGCTATTGTCCACATTTTACAGAGAGGCTAAGTGGCATGCCCAAGGTCATACAGGAAAGATGTGGCAGAGCACAGAACTTAAGTTCATGTCTCTAGAGTCCTCCCCTAGCTTTGGAACCATTGCTTAGAAACTTGCCAGTGCCAAGACTTGAGCAGGAAGAGCCTTGTCTCAACGTCTTTTCCTTAGGTGTGCTACTCTAGTGACATTAGTGATGCTGCTCACATGACTCCATGGTTATTGACCTAAACAGACCCAGCAGAGTTCATCCCTCCTAGTCCATCTCTGAAACCACTTTTAGAGTCTGAATTTGTTCTCAAAGTTAAAAGACTTTCCAATCCCTTTGTTTCCGATGAGAGCTACCTGGAATATCTGTTTTTGGCAATCCTCCCTACCTAACCAGTAGCCATCCATCACACCTTATCCAAGCTCCTCCATCAAGCCACAGTGGTTGCTTTCCACCAGCAGGCCTGGCATGTCCTGAGACCGCTTTCTCCATACTCCAGTGGAATAGCCACACTGACAGCAAAGCTGAGGAAAATTAACTCTGGATTGATTATGACTTCAGGACAGAAGAGGAGTTAGCCTCCTGCATGCAGATTCATCCTACTGTGCAGCAGGCATGTTCCAAAGCATCGAGTCTAGGGCAGGCCTTGGTAAATGTGCCAGTATGAAGAATGCAGTGCTTTCCAAGGGGAATACATGGTGCTGCAAATTAAAGGTTGAAATGCATGGGTTAGGGAGGAAGAGATGCTGGAACTTAACAGAAATGAGAAGGTGACTTCAAGGTGGTAAAGCGGCTTCTTTAATGCGTTCTCTGGTAGTGACACTACGGGATCCAAATATAGAAGGAGTCGCATTATGTCATGATGAAAGCACACTGAAGTCAACAGAGCTTCCTTGCTTTACCCTCAGGCAACATGTGACAGCATAAAGCCCTGATATGAAATGGTAAAGAGTGACCTAGACCCCAAGAGACATCCTTGCATCTAGGAGAAGGCCACTCAGCCTGCTCTCAGAGGAAGTAGCTCTTCTTTCTGTAAGAGTAGGAGGTCATCATTATGAGCTGTGTATTAGGGCCAGGCAGCCCAGTGTCTTTAGGAACTTGAGTAAATCCAAGGATCTTCATGTGTAGATGTGATCCTGGTTTTTCATTGGCTTTCTACAACTCAAGGAGCCTTGTAAGGAAATACAGTAATATCTGGCCTCCTCCCAGTGTTTCCATTATTCAGGAACTGATCTATCAAAAAACGACTGGAACTCTGCTGGTGGGCACCTTCTCATCCAAACTGGCAGAAATGAGAGTCCATGCCTGAGACATAGCACTAAGGGGACAGGCATATCTGCACAATACTTGGACTCAAAGCCAACATTTCAGGGTAGCCAATATATTAGAACTACTTCAGCTTGCATAGGCCTACCAAGCAAGCAAGCTTTAAAATAGTCACCTAGGGTACTACTGCTAGTAGCATTGCCACAGCAGCATGGCTAACCATCCCAGTAAAATCCAGTTTCTTGCATGGGCTTTGCTGGCTGCTCTGATCTCTGTGCTGCCCTGGCTGTGCCACTACCAATATCCAAAGGTGCTAGTTTAGCGCTACCTCAGGTGTGTCCACACAAGCTGGGTCATATTTTGACAGCAGGGGAGACTTTTACTCAATGACCCTTATAAAAGGTGATCTCTAGGCTTCTTGGCTGGGGTTAGAAACCTTGCTGTAAATTCCTGATGGATCAGCTAAAGACTTGTAGTGTCTGTGCAGCAGGCGCTCCAAGTACGCAAAGCTGATGTGGCGGGTGCTGAAGACTGGGACTCTGCAGCCCTGAGAAGCTCTTGCTGTTTCTGGTCATCAAAATGAACCCCGAGCTGCTGAGAGCTGAGCCTTAGGGAGGCGGGTGTCTGTGCAGTTACCTCATGGCATGTGTGCTAGAATGCAGGGTATGCGCCAGCTTGTCGTGCAGAGGGTAAGCGATCCCTTCAAAAACAGGCAGCAGTGATGGGATGAGATGAGGTGCAGACTTGGCTGCTTTTTAAGGGCCCAAGTCTGGGTCTCGATAAGAAAGGAGTGATTTGGCCTGTTTCTTTTTCCAGAGACCTAAGACCCTTCAGGTCATTAGCTATGTAGTTCTTGCTACAAAAATTACTTTCCTTCTTAGCTTGCCAATGCTTTTAAAAGGACAAAATCAGCTCTGCAGAGGCTGCAGCCCCTTCTCTCTCTACGTGTTCTGCTCAGCTTTCTCAGAGACTGCCACTAGACTAGAGGATTTGCATCCAACTGCACTTATCCAATAGGACTGAAATCAGTGTTTTTTTAAAGGGCCCTTGGCATGGGCCTTGTCATGTGCCCACGGTGGCTTTGGCCCTGGCTTTTGACTGCCTTGAAAGTTGTAACTTTATAGCAGCTGACCTCCAGAATATATCAAATGACAGAGAACATTTGTTATCATCAGGAAATCCAAATATGTGATAGCAAGAAGAAATCTCTGCCACAAATTTACCTACAGCTGTCTAACACTGTAGCACCAGATTTTTTACTGGAGGCAAACATGAATAAAGATCAGTGCAGTACAGCTTTAAGTTTAGATCAGACCGTATCTAAAGTACTGCAGCCTGCACATATATCTTTCTTGGGATTTATAAAACGGAGTTTAAAGTGCCTGGCATTGTTTCTTTAGTACATGATAAAGTGGCTCTCAAGAATGCCTTGAACTAATAAGTGAAGGAGAGTCTAGGACAGTATATAAATTATAACTGAAGGGGGTGAAGGTTTGGCTTCATGAAAACATGGTGCGACCCTCTTTCTCAAGGTCTCACTTGTGCAGGACTCACCTCTTGCCAGTTACACGATTTGCTTCAAGGTCTGGAATTCTAAATATAAAGTCTACCCGTGCTCCATGTGTCTGTGGGGCTACTTAGCTCTCCCTTAAAATAACAG